ATCCTGGTCGGGAACAGTATCGTGGGAACAGTCCTGAATAATTTTTGCCCCTTATGCAGAAGCTGGTTGCATTCCGAAACTGTAGCTCCATTCGTGCGGAATTTTTCGTCGATGAAAACGGTGCCCGCGCAATCGCCATTTTCGGCCCTCGACACCAGCTCTTTGAACTTTTTGTCTCTGCTGTGCTCCTCCCGTAGAATTGAGCAGTGGTGCTTTTTCTTATAATGGACTGTGAGCAGTTGTTAGGTCGATATCATGCTCTGCGAATCGAACTATGCACCAGCGACTCAACAGTGGCGGGACCCAACGTTCAAAGGAAGCCGCCACTTTCAAACAGCGTCCACTGTCACGTGACACTGTTTGAAAGTGGCGGGCTTCCTTTGAACGTTGGGTCCCGCCACTATTGAGTCGCTGGTACATAGTTCGACTCGCTGGTACATCGTTCGACTCGCTGGTGCATCGTTCGATTCGCTGGTGCAACGTTCGATTCGCTGGCGCAACGCTCGGATCCAGCGATTCGATAGCGAATCGCTCGATTTGCATCGGCTTTATCTGACCATTCCCTACATTACTGTGTTTGGAAAGTCCAGCGTTCTGTCACCTTTCTCGAGCCAGCCCGGGTATTGCAGTCGTTTCGCTTCTTCATGCTTTTCCTGAGATCCAAGATGTCAGAACTTGTATGGCGGCCGCAACAAAGGCAACTTTCATTGGCCTAATATTCATTCATTTCGTACATGGTAGGCCAAGGATAAAATAAAGCATTTGCCGTTGATCAATCCCTTTTTGGGATGCGGCACGCATTCTACTTCCATTTGTACATTCGTAGTGGCGTTTGAATGCGATGTGGCCTATACAATGACTTGCGGGGCCAGCCGATGTACAAGTCAGTGTTTTTATCCTCCCAGACAAGTCTGGTACCAATTAACCGACCCCGGAGGGATGGAAGGCTTGGTTGGCCCGGGCGACTCACGACCCAGGATTTGATCCCCGGACCGCTCGCGTGGTAAGCGTGCCACTTGCCACTACACCACTTCCGCCCAGGTAGTTAGGCCAAGGAACGGTTGAAAATCCAAAGAAGCGCGATGTTCATCACCGGATGTCCGATAGCTGTATGAGGGATTAGGAACTCTGGTAAAGTTTAGGTGCACCATGGGATGGCAACGAATGGTAAGCCGTGGAGAAAAGGAATACAGACACCTACACAATTGAAGTTCAAAGATCCGTTACTCGGTGCAAGTTATGACAGGCGTCTATCATTGCGTGGAAGTGTAGAGTTGTCTCATTTCATGTTTCCGTTATTGTTAAAATGCACGGCTCAGTAAAATCCTATACAGGAAACAATGAATCTACCCATCCGTCTCCGATGTCTCTACAAATTTCATTTGTTCCAGAATTTTAATCCGACTCCAGCTGTACGTGCTGCGCCGGCAGAATTGTCCTCCAACACACGACTGAAGATAAAAGTAAACAAACTGTTTGTAAGTGTTGCCTATAATTGAATGCGATGTTTTCAGTGTTGTAAATCATGACATCTTCATAGCTCCAGGCTGTGCAGTAGGAACTCAGAGTGCAGTGTCACGTTACTTGCAATGCATTTTATCGCCGCGGCTGTAGGACTTAGTATACCGGAATGGATAGGTCAGCGCGACTACACGTGCACGAGCACGACCATACGGTTCGCAATTTTCCATAGCGTGTGCGTCCCAACGGTGCTTCTACACCCTTGCATTACGCTGTCCCACTCGTGCTGTAGTGCTCACGGCCACGCTGCAGATCTCTTCGACACTTCTGCTTTATCTGGTCCCTCTGTATGAACGGTGGATTGCAAGCGCGACGTCGTGTTTTGTCTTACTACCACACAGTCTTGCGACGGCCACAACGTCGGCCACCAATTCAATTGAAAAAGGCGCTCATGTCGTTGTGGTGGAAAGGGGGGGACATTCAAGCTGGTGAGCCAATTACTGTACTTGTGATAAGGCTGAGTGAGGGGAAGGGATTCTAGGAGATGTGAGCATTCTCCCTGGACAACCCTGTAGCCAGTAATGCACCGAAGGCAGTATTCAAACCGCTCGTCAGCGTAGAATGGAATGCTCGAGAGCACTTCATGTTGAATTGCGCACCACATGTTAGATACCTAGCGATTCGGTTGGTTGCTCGCGCCAAACGCGAATACGCGGAATTTCTACGAGCGTCACGGACTGATTGATCAATACTACCACGGGTCACAATTAGTTCCTTAAAGAATTCGTCTCTTTCAGCGAGATAGTAGGACCCCTAGCACAGGGGTGGTGATACTGTCGCGACTTGGAGCTTGATTTGGAAAGGTGATTTGGGAGCTTAACCGCTGCGACTGCCGCCATCACCATCAGCCATGACTTACGTGGTGTTTACGTCCTACTGCGTGTGACGAATGCTTCGCGTATCCCTCTCTTTGCTGCACTATGTCTCTCCTTCATACCACAACCGAAGATTCGAATCGGTCACGCTATCTTGCGATTACGCGACCAGAAAATTGCAAAGTAAGTTCTATTTATGTACTCTACACTCGCAATGTACGTGGTAGTCGCAAAGTATGACAATGATGTAAGGAAGCTAGCTGGAAGTTCTGTGGAGTGCGAAACCCGCAGAACTGGATGTACGGATTGAATAGATTAATCGTGGAACGTTCCGATTCCACCTAATCCGCAAATTCCACATACACCAGCTGCTAGCGTGCTTCGTACGAATGTTTACATCATTTTTGTTTGCTCTCGATTTCTGGCTACTCCCGTTTGGTTGATAACCACTTACGGACCTTATTCGGAAGTAGTACGTAAAAATGAAAAATGAGTTGGGCGAAACGTTACATCATGAATGCAAGTCTACTACTACTACTGTATCAGGTAACAGCAGAATGGAAATGGATTGAGGGAGGTGACGACACATGCGGTATCTGTCGTATGCCCTTCGAGGCATGTTGCGTGGATTGCAAGTGTCCGGGGGATGAGTGCCCTTTAGTGAGTACCACGCTATGTATTTTACACCAAGGCCTAAACTGTGGGCACACTTTTGTGATTTTAGGTACTCGGTCAATGTAAACATCCATTTCACATGCACTGCATTGTGAAATGGACCGACGCCCAAAACACTCCCAAGCCGCAGTGTCCATTATGCAGACAAGAGTGGAAATTTGCTGACTGACTCCAAGTCAAAGTTAGTTTTCTATCTGCTACAATTAGTTCGACTACAAACTGACCAAATTTGGTGTTTTTGATCGTATTGTTTTTAAGAGAAAGGTACGCCCTGGATTCCTTGCTATAATGACGGCGTTTTCCGTCCACACCTCTGCGGGTTTTTCAAACTATTTTGTTCAACCGATTCTTAATGGTATTCGTTCTCTTACGATAAATATAATAATAAATTTATTATTCAATTCTTGAATTGTATAATATTTTGTTTATTAAAAAGACATTACATCGAAGCAGATAGAAATCTTGCACATACTGAATCGTTGTCATTTAATAAGGTAATTCGGCACTAATTTTCAACAACCACTGCGATTAACAGATTAACAAAGGGATAGGAGAGAAAAGGAAAAGCATAGGAGCACCATATTGAGGAGTCACTTATGATTTCAGATCGTTTTTATGTTGAAGGCACGTTTCTGCCTCTATGATACCTCTCAATGATGAGCGTGCAGATTGCCGACATTTTGGGCAGCTACTCACCGCTCTATCTTACCAGGAAAATCTTTCAGGACATGGAATTTTCAAAACGGTTTGTTGCATTTTATAGGTACGTGCATGGAGCATGAAACTGATGATCATTTTTCTGAACGGCCCTGGGACTTCCAGGAGGACAGGAAATTTCATAGTGAAATTTTTCCATTTTCAAAAAACTAAGCATTTCTAGAGTTAAAAAAAATGCATTTTGGGAGTTTTTGTTCACTGAATAGGTTTGGACATTTAGAGCCTAAAAAGTGGAGATGAGAGAAATGCAAAAAGTCTGTCCTAAGTGGGAATCGAATCATAAGCCCCGGTTTCAACATGTTTCCTCAAACATTTCCAGAGCCACTCAGAAAAGAAAACTGTTCTTAGTTTATGCTCCTTGCGCGTGTCCTATAACATGCAGAAACCATTTGAGAAAGCACTCCATGCCTTGAAACAATCCTGGTTAGTGTAGCTATCGTCTGCGGATCAGGTTTTTTATATAAGTGAAATTAACAAAAAACACAGATGCAAAAGAATTGTGAAAAGATGATCTGGGTATTTGGTGAAGGACATGAAGAGCTTGAGATTTCACTTCGATGCATAATAAATTCAGCTTACGCTGCTTTTGACACTTCGTCCATCGCTTCTTTGATTTCTTCCTCGGAGTACAAAGAAGAGAGCTCATTTTCTAGTTTTAGCAAATCATCTGAAAAAAATGTGTATGTGCCCTCCCTCCAATTATTCAATTCATTTGGTAAATGTTCGTCTGACTTGTATTAGGTTGGGAAAAAAGTTCTGCAACATTTTTACCCGTTTTCAATTTGTTGTAGATGGCCGGTTATTCTTCATAGGACAGTTTAGACTTGGCCAGTGATAAACTGTAAACTACCATGGGTGTTGTCACGAAGGCTTCTCGATGCTCTTTTTTCCAAAACACCGCGGAGTGAAGTCAAAAGAGCAGGTGACCATGCTGTGGAATTCGAGGTGATTTAATTATTATTTCGCCATGAAGATGTTGATTGAAGGTCCGGAATAGGTGGTAAAAACTTAGAGCTGACCAACGAAGGAAGTAATCTCGTCGCAGCTCCAGAATTTCTTACCGGGCTCATTTCGGATCATGGTGATTCGCAATGTCATGAAAGAAATAAATATTGTCGCGGTACGAGGGCTCTTGACGAGCTGCCTCGGCCAGCTTCTGGAATTCCGCAGCCTAGACCTCTACCTACACAATGGTGCCCATAACGAAGAACTTTCGTTGAGCTTCCGTGATGAGCCCTAGCTGTAATGAAAAGTGCGAGGCGCTGCTAGCCTCTTACAGGAATATCAGAAAATAAAGTATTGTAGGGATGAAACACGGTTTAGTGGTGAGCGACATTCCCATTGTATTCCCTATTGCATACACTTCTTGTCGTTGACATGAAATGTTATGGAAATATTTGTACTCGACAATGACTGCCGGTGGTGTTTTCTCGACTTTTTAGAATAACTACATAACTAATTACTCAGAATAACTGGTGACAGCACTTAGTGCATTCAGGTCTCGAGAACCCTTTGAGATTTGTTGGTCATAAACGTTACTTACGAACCTTTCAAAGAAGGGAATTTTCAAAAAGAACGTTGCAGAATTTTTTTCCCAACTTGATAACTTGGGACTAGACAGGGAGCGCGAACAAGAAGAGCAAGCCAGGTGACTTCACCTCTCTTAGTGTTTCACAACAAATTATTCGCACATGGTGACGGGTTAATCATAATCCTTCAAAATGTTTCTGCAATGTCTATCGTGAAACAAAGGCAGGTGGCCGTCCATCTCTCAACACCTTCAAAACACGAAGCCATTCGTTATCTCCTCGACCACCTCGAACAGGCCAATCATTATCGCTTCACCATGAAGCAGCTGTGTATTTTCCTTGATCGAGCCATAGCAGGCAGTCCGTAGTACAGAAGTCGTCGCTATGGTCCACGTCCAGTGCACTACCGCTTTGGTGATTGACCAATCAGTGCCAGCTACCGTTATCTTACAACCAATGAAATCCACGCCAGGTCTCGTAACTTACAAGGGGGTCTTTCAGGGCAAGCCGCGCTTTTCAAAACGGTTTCTGCATATTGTAGGGACGCATGGACCACAAAACCATGTTTCGTTTTCGCTGAACGGTTTTAGTAGTACCAAAAAAGTGTGAAGATACTCAATGGTTCGATCCCCCGCGGCGACTAAATTTTGCAATCAAGGTTGGCGGCTACTTGTTGGCTTCAAAATGGTCCTGACGATGAATATCTGATTTTGACATTTAGCGCGATTTGGCACCAACCCGTAGGCGCCAACCCAAATGCAAAATTTAGTCGCCACGGGGGATCGAACCATCAACAGTACCTTTCACTTTTTTGGTACTACTAAAACCGTTCAGCGAAAACGAAACATGGTTGTGGTCCATACATGCGTCCCTACAATATGCAAGAAACCGTTTCCAAAAAGCGCGTTTTACCCTGGAAGGCCCCATCGCGGAGGAGCGAGACGAGGCGTGATATGATGACGTGCAACGTGCGTCTTATTGACATAACAAGACCCTACTACTTAAGGTCATTCTTCGTAACTGTACACGCTCAAGACTGCTACCCTGCTCTGGTCCCTTTCCTACTTTTGCTGTTTTAGCACAAGACCAAAGCAAAGCGTTCACGTATGGAACTTCAGCACCGATGAAACTTGCCCAACGCGGAAATCAACGGAAAAACGACAATCCCGTCTTGCCTAGTTTTTTTTTTCACTGCTGCATCTAGCAGTTCTACATTTATCCCCAGTGGGAGACCATTTCATCGTGAAATCTGCCTTTAACGACTCCTCTTTATTAGCCTTCGCCTTTAAGCAGTTCTCAGAGCTTGGGGCCAATTACTAGCATTCTCTGAAATTGCGCGTTCGCTAGCGATTGATCGCAGTCTGACATTTGCTTCACTTGCTTCAGTTTCCTACAAGATTTAGGTCCTAATCAACACTCCAAAAACACTCAAGACTCATCCCAGTGCTTAATGTATGGCCGTTGCACATAAGAAATAGAATTTGCGAAAAGGCCAGCTAAGGCTAGCGCGCTTAGCTACACCCTTACCTTTTGTTTTCCTGCAGCACATACTTGTCAGAACAGCGTACTGAGTCACTCTGTCTTGATGTTTAGCGATATCGACAATCTTAAGATTATTGGCCTCCATGTGTTGCGTTTCGAGGTATCTGCAAACAGAATGCGTTCAGTCACGTAAAGAGAAGTCTCCATCAATTGCTGTGAATATTATTGGGTTATCTCATAATTCCTGTCTCATTTCTATTCAATTTCAAATTTCTTCCGTCTAAGACCGTTTCATTGCGAAATACGTTAGTATGTTGAAGTATGCTTCAAGAGCCTTAACAGCGGTTTCGGAAGAGCAAGCCCGCAAGGGTTAATCAACTAGGAATAAAAATAGGTCAGTGACTATAATGAATGATTATGCTTTACGATCCTCAAATGAACTCTGTAGCAAGGAGGACAACAGAGAAGATCAGCGCTGTGTTTGACCCAGTCTCTGCTACTGATAGGGTACTGAGCTAGTGGTCCAATCGCAACGGCAAAGACGAAACGAGCTATGAACTTCAACCTCATACTGGGCCTGCGGTCATTTTTGATGAGCGCCCCTTGCACCCTAAATTGGGAGTGCCTCCGGACGTTGCTACCAGGGTATTGTAGCAGATACCTGAGCGCAGCCGATGCACCAGCACACGCCATCAGTATGGCAAGGACTGCTGCAGAATGAAGTTTTGATGGAAACCTTATGGTCCGGCCGACCATGAGCGAGAAGCACGCCTGACCATCTGGGGAAAATCCATTCTGGACGGCAAAGCAGAGCCTTCCCTAATCGGTCACCAGTGGAGATGAGTCATGAGTCCACTGCGACAACAACACGCGGCACAGACGGCTCAACCAAAGCCTAACTTCGTATTCTGAGAACATTACTCTTGGTTGTTGTATTCGCTGGGTGGCCTGGTTTGGGAACCACTTCAATGTATGAAGACAAGCATTGCTAAAGTCAGCGCGGAATAGCCCTCTAGGCTGGCTTCGGTATTGCGAGGGAATCGTCAGAAACGTCTCAGATCTCCTTTCTCCGAATGACCCCCAGACCTCACATTGCAATGCCAACTCACCACGTTCTGAGGGAGATAGCCAGGGCCACGATACCTCATCCACCATATAGCATTGGCATCGCTCTATCGGACTATCGCCTACACCGCGCTATCGACTATCGCCTCCCCTGCGCCCTGAATAAGCATCTGCCAGAGAAGAAAGTTAAAGATTGCGACCACCCCAAAAACGACTTCTCCAAATTCTTCAACCCCCAGCTTCCTTCATTCTGGGCTGGAAGCTTCCAAACGCTCCCTAGCAAATGCACGCATATCAGTGACCATGATGGTGGTTATGCTATTGATCAGTTGTTTCCTAGAAGAGATAAAACTTGAATAAACAAAAGTGTCAAAATTGAGACAGGAATTATTAGGTTGGAAAGAAAGTCCTGCAACACTTTTTCAAATTTTTGATTTTAATTTATCTTTTTTGTTTACAACTCCTGACCGGTCTATATCTACCATGAGTGTCCACCACTTGTCTTCAACGCTCAGAAAATTTCTTGATGCTCCTTTTCCAAAACCCAGCGGAGTGCGGGTCGAGAAAGGAGGCGACCTCACTTTCGAGTTGGAGTTGATCGTCTAATTATTTCGTCATCAAGATGATGATTTAAGGTCCAGGATAGGTGGCAGTCATTTACAGCTCGACCAGGGGAATACGCTAAGAGAGGTAAGAAATCTTGCCGCAGCTCCAGAATTTCTTACCGGGCTCATTTCGGATCATGGTGATTCGCAATGTCATGAAAGAAATAAATATTGTCGCGGTACGAGGGCTCCTGACGAGCTGCCTCGGCCAGCTTCTGGAGTTCCGCAGCCTAGACCTCTACCTACACAATGGTGCCCATAACGAAGAATTTGTAGTGGAGCTTCCGTAAGAGCCCTACCTGTAATGGAGTGTGAGGGACGCTGCTGGCTTCTTATAAAAATATCAAAAGATCGAAAGCGCTGGTAAAGGTGAAACACGCTGTAGCGGTGAACGGCATGCCTATTGAAGCTATTGCAGATAGTGTCGGTCGTTGACACGAATCCATAGTTTGGAGACATTTGTACTAGACAGTGACTCGGAGTATGGATTTACTAGTGGTCGAGGTTTTTTGAATTTTCTTGGATAACTACTGACTGCAGCACTTATATCCACCTCGTGGATTAAAGCCTCGAGAATGCTCTACCATTTGTTAGTCATAAATGTTACCTATGAATTTTTCAGAAAAAAAGAAAATTTTAGAAAGAGTGTTGCAGAACTTTCTTTCCAACCTAATATGAGACAGCCTAGTACGTCCTCCAATCCCTACCTCATCGCATCAACTACATGGCCTCTCTCCAGCAAGACTTCCACAATTTCATCACAGGCCTTCTGTCTAAAAAAGAAAGCGACCAACACTCAGGCAGTTCAGAATGAAATGGAAAGGATACGTACCGCGCCAGAATGTCGATACCGGACTGGAAAAGCGATGGACATCTGGCTTCGTAAGAAAGAAGAAGAAAGGCCAGTGGTTTCGAATCAAAAATAACCTAAAGATATTTCTACCTTTCACAAAAGATTCGTTTAAGGTTTTTTTAGTCTGGTAATAATTACATGAGACACCATGTGTGACTTAAGAACATGAGTAGCATTTGTGTAGACTTACCTTGTAGGTTACAAGCTGATGAAGCTTTCCCATTTCTCCTGAAAGTGCAAGTGACTCGACGACCAATTCCAGAAAGTATGCCTGCATATGGACACAGTGATAACAGTAAAAGGCACAATATCATTTAATACATTCCATTTTGACTTATTTCTATTTTACTCGTTCCCCAAATTGCAGTCACATATTCGTAAGTCGCACCATGTGCGCATGTGCAGGAGCTAATAAGAGTGCTTAGACACCAATTCATACGCCAAATCATATTACCAAAAAAATTGACAACTAGGGTGAGTCATGATTGAGGAATCGGATGTGGAAGGGTCCAGTTACGGAAACAGCAGGACCGGGCTCCCCACTTTCTTCACGATTTGGGGGCGCGGCCGCGGCGAGCGCGGACGAGTTGATAGTGCCCGCGAACTGTGGTGGTGGAGCGTTTTCAAATTTACCCGCACAGTTCGCGGGCACTATCGACTCGTCCGCGCTCGCCGCGGCCGCGCCCCAAATCGTGAAGAAAGTGGGGGAGCCGCAGGACCGATTTCACTCGTAAGGTAGTGGAGAGATGCGAAGGTTCATTGTAGAAAACTCGAATAGGTGAAAAAAGTTTTTTCTTCGCGGATGTGAACTGGCGTCCTAGCTAGTGCTATGAGTAGCGTGGTCAACCGACACTAGCGCCGTAACCGAGAAGCCGAATAGATGCGGGTATGTCTTCTACGCAAGGATCACCTAAAGTGTTACGCATTTACCCGCAAAGATGCACAAAGTATGTTCCAGATATTTCAAGTTCATAACTAGAGCAACACACAGCCCAACTTGATCCCTCGGAAGTTACCGACATTGACATTGGAGTTCTCAAGCTTAAGCTGGACATTACCTCTACTGGAATACCAAAGCGGTGGAGACTTCGGAGATATTGCAACATTATGTCAGCAACATACTTGGAGTCTTTGATTGAGCTCTCCTAAAAGTGATAAGCATGGAGGTGGATCCTTTGACTAGACTGACCATGAGGTCCACAGAAAAAAAAGATCATCAACATGCCATAAATGGAATGAAGATACTGCTTTGCATTTCTGCCTGTTCGATGCGCAAATGCTTCACTTCGACAGGAATTAGCTGAGGTTTGGTAGATTCTGAGAAAGGTCGACGTTTATAAAAAAAGAACACGCACATGCATGTATATGTATCTTACCTGTTTGACTGACCACACTCGTTGAAGAGAGGGAGTACTTTTCTACAATTAGATCAAACAGTTTTCGAACCTGTCGCAGCCGTAACAATTTGGACTTTAAGCATTCGAAGAGAGTAGTCAAAACAAGAGACTTTTGATTGGAACGGTGAATCAGAAATTCGATCAGTGTGCACTGAAAATACAGAAACTCAAAAGAACCAATTCTGGTTCAACGATCGAGCTTGCTAGCAACTCAAACCTTGTCAGCAATTTCTTCAGGTGCACGATTACAGCAAACAGTAAGCTGGTACATCATCCCAGCAACCGGATCTAAAATTTTGCTTTTTCTTGCTGTTCGCATACGAATTACCTTCACCCTTCAATCTCCCACCTCCAAGGAGAAATGAGCAGATAAATATCTAACCAACCATATATTGAAATTCACTAGATCAACTGCTTACCGACAACAATATCAGGCTGAAACATGGACCAGAGAGGAACGTAGAGCGCAGGTGGTGGCTGACAACTCGGTGATGGTTCTAAAACACATAGTGCTGATGGCGCAGTATGAGGTACGCTAGATTACAGTTTAAGTATGATACTCGCTTATGGAAGTAATGATCAGCGGTGAATGGGTGGGACGATTCGGCGAAAGTGCAACGTCAAATATCATGGATTTAGCAGTTACCTGAACCTTTAAAATTACGTTCCAATTGAAGTGCTAAGCATAAATTCACCTGGTGATGAACAATTATGAGGTTGTCAATCACATGAAGACCAAATCCTCCAGAGCACCCTAAACACAATAAATAAGCAGAAAGATTGCAAGGTTTCAAGCTTTCCTTTGCGGTGCTTGAAGAAAAGACGTGCAAACCTGAATCAACATTGCCTCTTTTGATACTCTGATAAAAAAAATTCACCAGTCTATTGTTTTGTTTTCGTGCCTTGAACTTATCGCAATAAAACTCAAACTATTCACAAGAATGACCTCCGTCTTGTAATGTGGCTGAGCAACCACTAAATATTGGGCTGTTACATAATTCGAGGATCACTTTATTTTTATTGCTGTTAACACACCTTAAAATGGTGAAGCAAGCTCGCGAATTAGTAACCCCTTTATGTAGAACCAATATCTACAAATAAAAAGTTCCTCCTTGATCAATATTGGTTAGGATCCTCAAACACCAGGCAATGTAGAGAATCAACCAGAAGATGGACGGGGACGCCAGACGAAGAAGACGCCACCTCAACCCACGCTGCACCTGTCGTTCTTTTCGGAGTTTGCTTTTTCATATGAAAGTGATACACAATCCAACCACCCGTGACGGACAGTGCTCACTAGATGAAAAGGAACCTGTGCAAACTAGCCTTATTTGCCAGAGCGCTTTGATGTGTCGAAATGACAGTACTCAAGCATCTCCGTAGTCGTGCGATTTGAAAATATGGATTCTTTATCTCGCTCATCTAAGCCCCACTCAGCTCCAAACACGATTTGACATTGTCATGTTTCGTTATTTTCCCATAGTTGCTTCAACAAAATATCACAACATTCAGCGTGGTGTGGAGTGGGTGTATTGTCGTAACAATCCCACTAGTGGCAACACCCTGTCTTGAAAGATCCTACTTACTATAAAGCGCTTCGTCTGTCGTTCTGTCGTTCTGTATGTCTGTCACGAAATTCCCTAGCTCCTCGGGATCCGCCTGGAGGGACCGGGTCAAGTGTGGGATGGGTGGGCAAGGTCTCACGAAGTACAAAACACACATCAGCTAAGCGGAGCCCCGCCCACAGTGGGCGTGGCGTGCGTCGAAATGAACTGTACTGACGACCAAGATTTCAATTTCAGTGAAAAACCTCGAAACTGGGCCAAAAAGTGGGTAAAGGTGTGCATTGGTAAGTCACATCGAATTAGGGAGACCCACCCCCGGTGGGCGGGGCGTTCTCCAAAAAAGCAGTGCTTTATGAAAAATTTCATAACTCGGTTGGGAGAAAGCCTACAGAGCAGAAAACAAATTGGTGTAGGGGAGCAATGTCTAAGGTGTTCCCAGCATACATGACGTGGGCGGAGGCCGCCCACAATGGGCGGAGCGCGCTCTGAAGTGTACAGCGTTTTCTACAAGTCCTCATAATTCGGGCCGGAGAAGTCTTAAGAGCCGGAAAAAGGTGGATAGAGGTGGGTGGAGGAGTGGAGGCCAGCTGTCATCGGTGGGCGGGGCATGACCAAAGTGGGCGGAGTTTGCGACGAAAATTCATAACTCGGCTCCAAGAAGTCCCGGAGGCCGGGAAAAAGGTGGATAGAGGTGTGAAGGAGTGGAGGCCAACTGTCATTGGTGGGCGGGGCATGTCCAAAGTGGGCGGAGTTTCCACGAAAATTCATAACTCGGCTCAAGAAGTCCTGGAGACCGGGAGAGAAGTGGGCGAAGGAAAGGAAGTGAATTTCTAATGGTGTGCGGAGGATACACCAAAAAAGCAGGATTCGCCGCCAAAATTATAAATCGGCTCAGAGATAGTTCAGAGATGGGAAGAGGTTGGCGAGGAAGAAAAAGATAGGTGGGACATGCAAAGAAATAGGCGGAGTTTACCACGAGGTTCATAAATCGGTCCAGAGGCAGTCCGAGACCGGGAAAAGGGACAATTGGTTGACGATTACGGACAATTGGTGGACGAAGGAGGGAAGGTCAAAAGCCATCGGTGGATGAAGCATGGGGCAATCGGATAGAATTCAGCTTGAAAGTCAAATATTCGAAGTGTATTGGGCCAAATTCGAGAAATTTACGCCGCACCATCCCATATCGCCGCAGAACTGTGCTGTGCGCGCAACGCGTGCGGCGCCAACTGGTTGTGGAGTGGGTCTATTGTCGTAACAATTCCACTAATGGCAACACCCTATCTTGAAAGATCCGGGAATTCTGACACCAAAAGTCGAACCTTCCCCACGTTCGATCCTTTTGTAGGATACGAGAGCGAGGCAAAGACTTCTTTTCTGAGGTTCTCCAACTTGCGAAAAAATATAAAAATTGGAAACTCTCAGGCTGACAGCAGTTTCAGCTCCACGGTGTAGCCCAAAACTCGTGCCAACGAGGATTACCCACTCTGAAGCTCTTCCTCGTGAATAACTGTGTAAAGTGGCTAAAAGACATGACCTCAAAACACGTAGGCAATATTTTGTGGACACAGAAGTGTAACAAGCAGTTCATATGAATAACGAAAAATTGAAATCGAAAAGTAGCTGAAGCTCGCTAATTATGCGGACAAACTAATATAAGATTATGAAGGTGATTAAAAAATAACGCTTTGCGAACAAGAAGGATGCAGCGAGAGTTTACGCTTTGAAAAAAAAAACAGAATTTAATGATACTGCTTCGGAAGAATTATCTTAGCACGAACTAAACAGCCTACCTAGAGTCAACGAATACTTCATCTTTGCTACGCACTGTACATCGGAAGTAAGTTCATATATCATGAGATCTGTCGCATTAGAAGCACCAGAGTTATATCGCAGCACCATCACACATATTTTCCCGTATCTGAAAAATATATGAAAGCAAAGACACCGCGGAACTTTGATTTTAGCCTTGCAATCCGTGTACGAAAAGAGATGTGAGAACAATGGAATGATTTCACAGGATGCTGTGTTATGACCAAAACTCTTTGCCACAGACGGGAATCGAATCCACTTCACTTTTGAGGCAGTTGTGCTCCCGTTATCCCACCGCTTCACCTTAACCCAATTTTTGATGGTCCATTTACCACGATTTATCAGCGCTCACATGTATAACGTGGTTGAGGTTAGCCAACATCAACAATGAACCGCGAGGCTGGAAGCTTTAGCAGTGCAATAACGTGACCTGTTTTTGATTGTTGACGAAAAATCGATAATAGAGTTAATCAAACGCAATCTTCAAGGCGAAACTTATTTAGCTGCTGAACTTACATGGACGTAATTGTGACATCCTTCTCCAGTAAATTTTCATTCAAGGATGTACTGGAGTCCACGTCAAAGCTCTAGACATAATAACATAACAATGATTACGTGAGAAGTGGAACAATAGCAATGCTAGAGAAAGTTCACCTTTAATCTCGTGAATTGGCCATGCTGTATAATGAACGGTTGAAGTGTTGTGCAATTGTTTCCTGTCGCCAAAATGATCATGCTTGATTTGGCCTGAAACGACATAAAGCGTGCTTATAAGATGAATAGACTGGAAGACTTTCAGCCAATGAATAACAAAATCAGTAAGGCGTCACAGACATAAAAGAGTGACCAAGAAGCCGAAACATTCAGTGTTCGTAATAGCTTGGAGGACATCTTTTCCTCATTCAGAGAGAGAAGTTCCAAAGACTGCTTAGTAACGAAGAGAATCTGAAGTTCAACTAATGTGGCAAAAATCAAAAAGTAAAAGCAGATGACATCAACCCATCAACTTGCTTGATTATTAGTAATCCAATCAACGCTGAGAATCATATCCTTAGATTTTGTTGGGACGTTGAATTCAACAGCGGTTGTTCCATCATTCTTTTCGAGAAGTATTATGTCCTAGAACAATCTCGCTTCGAAAAAAGTGATTTCATCACTGGTAGTTAACAGCGCAGAAATAACGAGGGTGAAACAGCCAACAAACCACAGAGTTGATTTGACGCTGGAGTATCGCCATTTTTCCATTAGGTGATAATTTCATCAAACCAGGAGGACCGCGATCTTTTGTTCTGAATTTTAACAATGTAGCAGCTTTAAAAACGAGGGAATTCAAATGGTTAAAAGTTTCAAAAATGTTGTGGCTTCATTGATAGTCAGTCAATGATTACTGCTGAATTCACTGCGTTCTAGGTATATACAGTAGTCGCAACGGGTGAAATGTTCATACTCAGTTAAGTTGAACTAACCGAGCAGAAATGACGTCATTTTCAGCAAGCGATTTAGCCGTAATTCCAAGCGAACCATTGTTCCTTACCGTGCATATCTAAACAAATTTATCACATAGCGGGATCAGATTTGAATTTGTTCTTACCTTAAGGTTAACGTCGTCGAAAAAGTTCTGCGTTATATTTCCAGACTGCCCATTTTGCAAAGTTTCCGGTTCAAACGCCACCAAAACCGCTCCTAACTCTAGCATACAGTACCGCTGTAGGACAAAATGCACACGTTGATATTATCACGGCCTGCTTTCAAAAAAAAAACTGCGTATTTCATCGGAACGAACAACAGACACTAGGTGAAACCACATCATTTTCAAACAGACACGTTAAGGAAATCGTTGTGTGGGAGAATGGATGCCACATTTTATGTCAGTTCGGCCTACAGAACATGTGCACTGGAATAATGAAAATCAGGAACAAAGCGATTTCACAAGTCTCCTTTTCGTCCACGGAAGCGACTCCTCATGTCAACCAATGATCGCTTGCAGTCAGTAAAATTTTGGAGTAAAGAGAAACACTTGTCCGGAACGCTGCCGTCATGTGCGTCGATGCATTCTTTCGCAGATCTTGCTTGAACCTGAAAAAAGCTTTCCTGCAGCCGCTTTAATAATTGGCTGTTGTCCAACGGTCACCTCGTCGCTAGCGAATTGCTGGATTCGCAGTCTGACATCGGCTGGTTGCACCAGCGAATCGAGCTGTGTATATACCAGCAGATCGAACGACGTACCAGGGACTCATCACTGTTTAAAAGCGACAGGACCGAGCGTTTGAAGGAAGTCTAAACACTTCCAAACAGCGTTTCTTCAGAGAGGACTTCCTGTAAACGGTGGGTCTTGCCGCTTTCAAACGTGTTGAGTCGGTGGTGCAGCGCTCGTATCCATAAAGACCAATTACGAGTTCTACCAGATGTCGGTCAGACTCTGCGATTGCATCGCTCCAAAGTGCGAGCGACGGGAGATTTACCCGAGCGGCGCCGTGTGTATCGGTCGTCGGCGGGGTAAATCTCCCGTCGCTCGCACTTTGGAGCGATGCCAATCGCTCTAGGCAGAGCGACTGCATCGCGCGATGCAATCGCAGAGTCTGACCGACATCCCAGAATCGTTGAGCCTCGCTGGGTAGTGCGGTAGAATTGTAGCTCATTTCATGGAACGACCGAAGGCAATGAGTAAGTTTCAACTTACAAACTAGTTGCTCATGAGAAATAAAGAGGAATGGCAATGTCTTGAAGGTCTAACCTGGACACAGTGTGAGTCTTTTATGCACTTCTTCAAAGCCTGACGGAGACGATCGCAGGAGATACCCGTTGGCGTTATTGCGTTCAGCTCTTCATCCTCGAATTGGTAGGTGGCTGATTGAGGCAGGGCCGTCATGGCGATCCACCTTCAATACAACAGTTGAAAAGTGGCGAAAATCCTCCGCATTTGCAATATTTCGTTTTGTACCACCTTTGTGATACGCCGTCCACATTGAACTTAACCTACAAAAGAAGAAACGTCTGCATACGATTAAGAGCCATTGTCGCCTAAACCTGCAGCACCCCGAAAAAAAAAATAAAAGCCGAGTTCTTTGGCGGGCTGCACCATTTCTGCGACTACCTCATTGCGGGGCCATGTTCCAATCTCCCTCTAACATCTGGCGTTGTCTAAATGGCTTAGATTAATTTTTTGTGTAAGAATGAGTTGAGCGAAATAGAAAGAAATGGCGAAAGGTAATCAATACTATATGCTACATGTGTTCTCTACGCGAAGTGTAGTAGGGTTCAAGAAGCTAAGTTTCGTGATTTTTTTTCTCTGTTCATATCTGCACCCTGTTAGGGAAGTAGTGTTGACATTAGTGCAAAGTGAGAAATCGGTGAGCTGAGCGAGTATAGCCAGATCACGGAGATGGGGAGGACTGCCGCGTAAAATTACACCTCGAAAAAAAATGCAAGGAGCTTTTTGACAGGTTAACCGGTTGTAGGGCATGGTCCCGGGACGAACCATTCGCACAAAGGTGCAGCTACATAACTCGACCTGCATTTTTCGTGGTGTACGTATAGGCGACAGTGTAAGAGCCATAGTTTTCCGTAAGAAAGGACGCTTAAACCACCCAAGATGCAAAAGCATGTTTGGAACAATCGAGGACACGGATGTAGAACTGCAAGAAGAAAAAATACCAGCAATTCCGGAAAGAATTCCCTGACAACCACCGAACAGTCCTGCAAAGCGAAAATGACAATGAGAAGGAAAAATGTCCCATCAATCAAAGGGGACTGTGCAGTGCCTTTCTACCATCCAATCAAGCCAAGAGTAAGTAGGAATGACTATTTCAACGATGTTTTGAGTTTAATAGAATCAACACGACTTGAGAACTACAAGGTTGGCAAGCGCGCTCCAGTCGTGCTGTGCTCCCGCCGAGATCGCTTCAAAAATTTCTCGCGATTTTCACGTCCGAAGCATGTGTTACCTCCTCGCGACGTTATATCGATATTACTATGCCTGCTTCTTGACAACTGCTGGTCGTCCCTGTCTTTTCTTCAGCTGGAACTAC